TGCCCCCTGAGGGGAGGGCGATTCTGGGCTGCGCGATTGGGGGACTTCGTGGCTTTGGGTGGGAGCGAGGACAGACGGAGTCCATGAAGTGGGGCTTGCCTGCCCTTGCTGGCTGCCTCTGCTTCCTTAGGGGCGGGGAAGGGGGCTCATCTGGACCAAGGGTGAGTCTCCCCCTCAGTTTCCCCTGAAGGATCTTCCGTCGCTTTTGCCTTCTCCCTACATCTTCCCTCTGTTAAAATCCCCCCCCCCACACAGACACACACACATATTTTCGGGCGGATAGATTTCGTGTCTGAGCATTCTCACATGACGGTGAGTCTTTCCCCCCCCCTAAAAACAGTTAAAAAAAGAAAAAACAATATATCCTCATGCAAGAACTTTTCTGCTTCTGATTACCCCCATGCTTAAAAGTTGCAAAGGAAACACGGAAGCAGGGAAGCGCCTGCCCAGCTCCGGAGCTCCACACCATTTTTTTTTCAAAGGGGAATCTGACTCGAGTATAAGCTGAGGGGGGTTTTTTCAGCACAAAAAATGGGCTGAAAAACTCGGCTTATACTCGAGTATATACGGTACATACAACAGCTGAGGTAATTATTCAATTTAAAACCAAAAGATGGGACCCTAAATACTTTCAGAGCCCCAGCTTTCTATTGATGAATAGGCTCTCTGTTGATAGAAGGACTGATCAATATTATTCCATGTGGATAAGTTGTTTTAAAATTCTGATTTTTTAAATGCGTTTTATATATGTATGTATGTATGTATGTTCTGTATTTTTGTTTGTATCCCCCCATTTTTTCCTTTCTTTTCTTTCTTTTTTGTATATCAAACAAATATGTTGAAAAAGATAACTTATTATTAAATAAAATAAAAACAAATGAAAGTAATAATAAATTACTGAATATGTTGTCCTTTGAATTTCTATTAGGCTATCTTGGCTATACTAGTGGATTTTCCCTGACATGTATGGTATTTTTTCTCATAGTGGTAAGTTGGACTTAATGTTTTAATTGGATCTGAGTGATTAAACTTCCAATTTAAAACCATTTGCTGAATCTTTCAACTTTGATCCTTTATTGTAGGTCATATACAAGAAATTTCAGTTTTCTTGTCCTTTTCTGGACAGAAATGCAACAGATGCTATTTCTTCCAATTTTAGCTTTGGCACAGAGGCATGCAGACCAAAATATGTTACATTTAATTCTAAGGTACGTTTTTTTCTTCTTCAGTATTTGCCATTTCTTTCTATTATAGAGCTATTGGTGTTACAGGAACATACAAGTTCAATTGTAGAATGTGCTTTGTAAAAATTTTAATAAGAAATCTAGGGTGTATACTTTGTCCTGATAATGCAGAGTAAAACTAAATGGTGCTTAAGAACTGTGTGTTCCGTAGACATATATCACTAAGTACATTCACCAAAATGTATCTTTCAAACATTCATTTTACTACAGGTAAATTCCAATTCTGATGTTTGAAGCAATAAAGACTTTATACCAACTTTAGGAAAAGTATGCTGATTTTTACTTTTTTTTTTTTAACAGAGTGTGTATGCTTTGCCTACCCTTGCATTTGCATTTGTGTGCCATCCATCAGTCCTTCCAATCTACAGTGAACTTAAAGAGTAAGAGAATATTTATTACTGATTATTAAAAAGAACATTTTCATCTGAATGATAGGAATATTGAGTTATATACTGCAGTGCTGTCATTATCCAAAGGAGAGGGAATATTTGACACTTATCCTTCCCCCCAGTATTCCAGGAAGACTTGATTCACTAGGGAGGGGGGAATTGAAGGGATATTGTTATTCGCTGGGCATTTTCTTTAGATCTGAACAGCTATTTTTTAGAAACACCAACAATGCTAACTATCAGTCTAAAGGGATCTTGAGATATAGTACCAGTATTCACATCTGGCTCAAAGGCAGCTTAACCTAGCAGAGATGTAAAATGGTGGTGCTTTTTTCCCCTCTCCCTTTTAACCTTATTCTTTCAATCAGGTGTTATATTCTTTTAAAGAGTTAAGAACTATATTACTAAAATCTGGAAGGCAGAGTATATTGAATTCTCAGATCTTCTGAGGATTCTTTGTTTTAAAAATATATAAGCCTAATTAAAAATCTGAAAGCACAGATATTTTCTGAACCCTGTAAAGTTTATATGCCTTAAGGCAGAATCATAATCCCAGAAATTGCAATAGGGATAATAAGTATATAAGTAAAGTAAATATTCTGGTATTGTTCAAGTGTTTGGACTACCACTGCATAATTCCTAACCATAATCTATTCTAGCAAGAGTTAAGTGTTTTATTGTTGTATCGTAAACCAGTGGTCACCAACTCATAGTCCGTGGACCACTGGTGGTCTGTGAGAAAATTTTGGTGGTCCACAGAAAAATTATTTGCATTTTTTATATTGAATTAAATCAGGGGTCCTCAAACTATGGCCCCTGTGGACTGGATATGTGCAATGAATGTTTGTGTTACTGCAGAGAGTCTCCCACTTCAAGGTCTTTTTGTGCGGATCAGAGGGGAGCAGAAATTCTGACTTGGGGTCTACTTCAGCCTGCTGGTGCGGGGCTTTGGTGAAGGCTGGAGAGAAGTGCCGCTGGTGGCAAAGATCCAGAGGGCCTCGTTCCAGTGGGACTGCATTATGGCCTGGAATCTCAGCCCACTGAGCTTCCAGGTGCCGGTACCTGGCCTTGCACTCCTGCAAGTCTTCCCTCTGATTGGAAAACCTATGCTTGTAGTCCTCAGTGAAGTGCTTCTGTTGAACCTCCTTCTTGGTCAGATCCAATTTGAATTGAGCCAGCTGTTTTGCAAACTCTCATGGTGGCTGCTCCAACAACTGCTTCCTGTTGGGGCCCTAAGGAGTCTGGGCAGGTACCTAAGGAGTGACTGGGAGGTGAAGAGTGAGTAGAGGCTGGAGAGACGCCCTTCAATGTGAGTGACATTGAGTTGGTCACATCCACCCAGTCACATGACCACCTAGCCATGCCCACCCAGCCGGTCATTAGGCAGATTGTCAACTCATAAAACATTTCTATGACTGTTTTAGGGTTGCCATGAACAGAGGTGGGTGGGGGGAAGGAAATTTGAAAGAACATTGCAGCAGTTTGAAACCAAAAGTGCATTCCATTCTTATCTTGCAAAGATTGTAACTAAGTGACCGGAATTTCTGCTGTGCAAATATTTAATTGAAAAACATGACTGATGACTCTTGGCTAAGTTTCAGCTTCAGTTTCAGCACAGCCTGATTAGCATAAGCAACTGATAATCGGTTAGACCGGCCTCCCAACCATCAGCTGTTTCAGGCTGCAGGGATTGCCATTGCCTATTGCCACCTCCACGTGCCCCATTTTCGGCTTCCACATCCCATTTTTAGCCTCCGCATGCCCCATCCTGATCCCCGCTGCCCAGAAAGCAGGGAATGGGCTGCGCAGAGACCAATAATGGGGCTTGCAGAGGTAGCAATAGGCTATGGCAATCTCTGCAGCCTGAAACAGCTGATTGTCTGGAAGCTGATCCAACTGACAATCAGCTGCTGGTATTAATCGGGCTGTGCTAAAACTGAAACTGAAACAGGCTTTTTGCTGTTTGCTGCAAGGAGGCAAATTACTAGGAGGCAGAGACAGAGGCAGTTTTTTTCCCTTGTTTTCTTTTCCAAAATCTAGGTGTGTCTTATACTTCGGAGTGTCTTATACTCTGAAAAATACGGTGCCTGTGGAAAGTCAGGGTGTCAGTGTTTGATTAATTAATTGATATATTAATTTATATGGCCACCCATTTCACACTGGCAACTCTGGACAGATAACAGATTATTAAAAACCCAAGAAGAAACAATGAAAACTTTTTGTGAATAGAACTTCAGCTGTAATCTTGTGCATTAAATTTAGCACATATGAAATTGGTTAACACCCCCATTATAAAGAGTCTTTGTATATCTATCCAAATAGAATGGTGTCTAAAAGGACTGCTTAATTAGGTTAAACCAAGGGTCTCCAAACTTGGCAAGTTTAAGACTTGTGGACTTCAACTCCCATAATTCCTGAGCTAACATGACTGGAGGAAGAATTGTGGGAGTTGGTCCACAAGTCTTAAAGCTGTCAAGTTTGAAGACCCCTGGGTTAAACAAATAATGAAGCAAAATGAAACAAAATTAATCTGTCATCTTTAGCATTGTTTTCTAGATCTATCTGAGAACTTTAATCTTTATAGTTTTTAATACAAACTCATCTGATCCATAATTCCTAAAATAATTGCCAGATTAAAACCTAATTTACATTTTTCATTTCTTTAGATTTTGTACTGCAGCGCTATATTCAAAAGATGTAACAAATTTGTTAAATATTTTAGCATAAATGGGCTTGAGCTAAAATACTTCATAAATAAAAATGCACTCATACAAATGCATTTGTAATTATTTAAACACAAAACCTATATATTTTAGAGTTTATTAATCTAAGTACAAGTAGACCTCATGACAATGACCATTCAAAGTTACAGTAGACTTGAAAAAAATTACTTATGACTTATCCTTAAAGTTATGATTGCCACACCACTACTGAGATCACATTGCATTTTGAGTAATTGCATTTTGCAACATTTTTACCACTTTCTGGCAAAAATGCCCATTGGATAAGCTGGATTTGGACTTGCAATCCTATGATTTATTTAACAACTTCATAAACAGTGGTAAAATTGCAACTTATGACCATAATGCCTCATTACTAAAATTGCACCCAATTGTGTGCATACGTTTAAGACTACCTATATGAAAAATTTCTGATTAGTATGGAAGAAAAAACACATTTATCAATGAGTACATGGACTGAAAATTGCCTGCTTCATCTAGCCTGTTTCCTATTATTTGAGGTCCTTAAATTAGGGATTCAAGTTGTTAAGCTTAATAGTTTATATATGCTGCAATAATGAGCTACTACCACTTAATAGCTATTTTGACCTATCATGGTTATTTTGATTTATCTTGATGCTTGCTTAGTGCTAACACAATGAGGAAAGTATTATTTATACATCAGACTTAAAAGATTTAAAACTTTTCATTTTTTGGTTTGCCATTTTGTTTCTTCTTTAACCAGATGAAAATATTCTTTGTAAACCAGGTTCCTGTTGTTGCTTAAACTATCCTTAAAACTGTTGGTTAAGAGCTTTTTTCTTCCAAGTCAGTATTATATTCTTAGAAAAAGCTTAGAAATTTTAGATAGTGCATTATCCCTATAGATCGTACATTTATATTTCACTTGTCCTAAATTTTTGGCTGATGATATTTGATTCCATTTGGTATCAGATTTAGATACTATAAGCTTGAATGATGATATACTACATGATATTATATGTATCTTGTTGATTTATTTATTTTGTTGGAAGAAATGTCCATCTGAGTTTAGTTCTAAGTGGAAAGAAAGACACTGGAAACATGGCAACTGCTTGGAAAGATGGTTTTAATGGTGGACAGGACCACATGCCTTGGAGCTCCTAAGTGAAAATGAAAGAGATGCTGGGAGTCCTTTGGTTTTATGCCCTCTCTGGGCTTTGAACTTGCTTCCTGTTCTTGTGGCAAGAAATGTATCCTGAATGGTTGTCAGACTCCCATGGGGCCATGCAGGGGTAGTTTGGTTGAATCTTGCTGGGTGATGCAATCTTCCCAGGTGCCATGTGGTGAGATGGGTAGATTTTAAGGGAGGTACAGGGAGCTGCAGGGAGCTGCTTTGTCTTTAAGGACATGTTTCTTCTTTTCTCATCCAGAGAAATATAATATTCTGCCTTTTTAATATTTCTGAGAATATGTCATTCTTTTAGGAGAGGGGTGAGTGCTAACCTTCTACAATTTAAAAATGTCTATCCCTTTTTAATGCATAGATGTTATTTGGGTGGTTGACAGTTAAAATGAGATCAAAATTAGTACAAATTAAAAATATAAAATAATATCAAATAATGGTAAGCATAACCTTAAAATAAAGTTTTCTGTCTGTAACATAAAGATTTTCTAAAAATCCACCAGAGAAGGGGATAGCCTTTTCTTCCAAGGCCAGATATTAAATAGTTTAGATCAGGGATGTCAAACTCAAGACCTGCAGGCTGGAGCTATTCATTGGCTGGCAGAGTGCTGCAGGAGGCTGTCCAGGACAAAAATGGGGTATGAGGGGGGGCACACAACCCCCCCCCCCCATGCCCCATTTTGGCTGGCAGAGTGCTGCAGGAGGCAGCATCTTCACTTTCTCTTTAGCAGCATCTGCCAACTAGAACTAGGTATCCCCCAGGATCTGGATAGCTGTTCAGAAGAGCCAAAAACATCTGGCTCTTCATCTAGGTCTTAGATGAGAGAGGGTGAGCCCCCTCCTCTAGGGCTGTGTCAGAGGTAGTAACAAAGATTGATTGACTGTTGGACAGACAGTTTTTAGAGACATCTGGAGAAATTGTCAGTTCATTTATGCTCTGCTTCTATACAAAAGAATCAAGCCCCATAGCAGCTGGCAACTCTACATGTCTTTAATCTCTACATTATGGAATTGAGATTTGTTCCAGAAAGTAAATCTCCCTTTGTCTGGAATAGATGTTTTGAATGCAAAGGAGAAAAAATGCATCCTGAGCCTATGTCAAATGCCCACCATGGCCACGCCCACCTCCTGCCACGCCCACCCCACCATGCCCACCCCCGGCCCTCAGAGGTCAAACACAACCCTGATGCGGCCCTCAATGAAATAGAGCTTGACACCGCTGGTTTAGATGCAGTTATTGTGAAAATCCTTTCTGTTGCTCTTAAGATACTTGCTTTCATTACTTTTAGGACACAGAGAAGGAATTTTCCATCAAAATGTACATGCAGCCAAACTATCTCTAACAGGTCTTGCATAAGCCATTCATATGTCTTCACTAATGCTTTGAATAGACAAAATAAGAAACTCTATTCTAAATAGTAGTAGGTAGGGAGCCTGCACAGATTCAGAATCCAAAGGAAGGGTTACTGTGAAGGAATAATAATCTTTCCCAACGTTTGGGGATGAATTCTTTCTTTCATGTCATAATCACAACAGTATCCTTCCCTTCCACTTTAACAACTACTGTAGCTTTTCTATGAAGCTGGATAGGAATTTGGGGCATTACCAAAACCTCCTATTAGGCTTACTGCGATCATTCCAGCAGCTGTTATTTGCAGTGGGAGAAAAATATACTCACAGTGTTAATCCACATGTTTAATCATATATATTGCTATACAGTAAGTTCATTCATTTGCTTCCACTATAGATAGATCCTTGCAGGGCCCCACTTGCATTTTTCTGACACTGTTACTAAGATCCTTGCAAAAAGAAACGAGATAGAATGCTGGCAAGGAAGTTTTTCAATTGTGGTGTCCCAATCTTGGAACCTAATTCCCAAGAAGACTCTTTAGAACTTTTCCCCAGGATTGAAATTTTTAATATATAAGGAGCCCGTGGTCATTGTTTTAGTGAGTATTTTTTTTCAATTTTGTGGTACATACAATTAGCACAGGGGCCCCCCAAGGCTGTGTGCTTTCTCCACTTCTCTTCTCCCTAATGTCAGGTGAAGCTCCATTCAAAATCCAAGAAAGAACCATTAGACTCCATTGTTATAGAAAAAAGGACTTTTACTGGAAATCAAGTGGTAGCATCAAAAGAATTCAAGATCTGAGGCATTAGGCGTGAAAATCACGTATACAAAGTTATGGCAACATTCCCACCCACAATAGTTCAAACAGACCATCCAATCTGAGACATGTATAATGTCATATGGGGCATCTTCAGGTGGTGATTCAGACATCTGGCCATTGACCTTGGCCTGGATAGATAAGATATTGCAGCTGCGCAGTAAGTAAGTAAGCATAAACAAGAAAGTTTCCCCAAGTTTTAAATCTCACCAACTCAAACCTCCAGCACTCTCTCCCCCCCAGCCCAATTTATCTTCCCTCTCCCTGTTACTATGGCAGCTGGAAAGACAAGCAAAAGAAAGATTCTTGAAGGCTGACACCTATATACCAATGACTGCATCTCAAATGATCCATCTGTTAAAATAGTGAAGTTTGCAGATGACACAACAGTGATTGGTCTCATTTGAGACAAGGACGAATCCACATATAGACAGGAGGTTGAACAACTTGCCTCATGGGGTAACCAGAAAAATCTGGAACTGAACACACTCAAAACCGTAGAAATGGTGGTAGACTTTAGAAGAAACCCTTCCATAGTACCACCTCTTACAATACTAGACAACACAGTATCAACAGTAGAGACCTTCAAATTTCTAGATTCTATCATATCACAAGGCCTAAAATGGACACCTAACATCAAAAATGTCATCAAAAACACAACAAAGAATGTTCTTTCTGCGCCATCTCAGAAAGCTCAAACTGCCCAAATAGCTGCTGATACAGTTCTACAGAGGAATTATTGAGTCTGTCATCTGCACCTCTATAACTGTCTGGTTTGGTTCTGCAACTCAACAAGACAGACACAGACTTCAGAGGATAATTAGGACTGCAGAATAAACAATTACTACCAACCTGCCTTCAATCGAGGACCTGTATACTGCACGAGTCAAAAAGAGGGCTGTGAAAATATTTACAGACCCCTCACACCCTGAACATAAACTGTTTCAACTCCTACCCTCAAAACGACGCTATAGACTAAGCATTGCACACCAGAATAACTAGACACAAGGACATTTTTTTCCCCAAACACCATCACTCTGGTAAACAAATAATTCCCTCAACACCGTCCAACTATTTACAAAGTCTGCACTACTATTACTATTAATCTTCTCATCACTCCTTACCACCCATCCCCTCCCACTTGTGATTGTAGGACTGTAACTTTGTTGCTTGTGTCCTTATGATTTATATTGACTGTTTCCTAGTATGATTTGATTACTTATTGTACCTTATGACCATTATTAAGTGTACCTTATGATTCTTGATGAATGTATCTTTTCTTATATGTATACTGAGAGCATTTGCATCAAGACAAATTTCTTGTGTGTCCAATCACACTTGGCTAATAAAGAATTCGATTCGATTCATACATTATATTTTAATTCTGTACTAGCAATGCAAGCTGTCTTGAGATTTTACATACTATATTGAAGAATGACCTTCTAAGACACATGTACACCTTCATGCGAAATAAGATGAGGTTTGGATAGAAATTAGAAAGTGAACTTTTTCATTATTAATTCCTAAATTTAGGAGATGTCTCATGTGTTTTGAATATGTTCCTTCAGGACAGTGAATGAGGAATGCATTTGAGAATTTATATATTATCCCTTATTCATTGTTAAAAGAGTTGGATTAAGAATGAAGAGTCGGTTTTTACTATTTTTCTTCCTAACTAAGCTTCACATTAATACTCATTTTATCTATTAATTAGTGTAGTAAATAGTATAATGTCTGTGAGCATGTATTAAAGTTTAATAAATGATGCTGAGGAGTTGGGCAGCTCTGAATGAAAATAATAACTGAATAATAATACCACCAATATTCATTTCTCTTCATTCCTCTCCTCCCCCTTCTCTTTTTTTTTACAGTCATTCCCAAAAAAGAATGCAGATGGTTACAAAAATCTCTTTCTTTGCCATGTTTGTCATGTACTTTTTAACTGCTATTTTTGGCTACTTGACATTTTATGGTATGTATGTATTCAGTCTTCCCTAACATGAATGATATTTTATATAACTTCTTCTTGACTCATAATCTTTTTAAAGCAAGCAACTGAGACCAATCATGATTACTCTATAATTCAAACATTATCATAGTCAAACATGAATTTTATAAAATGTGTTTGTTGCCACTTTCTTCCTTTGTACAGAAAGTAACATCCAGATCAGGAGGCCTCATGCTTAATTTGAAAAGGGCATTTTCTTATCTGATTATGCTGTTCTGCTGCTGGACTGGATTGTGGTCACATGATCTTCATTTTCAATGTTCCGTGGCAGTTTCTCAGCCAGTCCAGCAGTCTTTTGCCCCCTCCCCAGCAACAGCCATTTATACTTAAGGGAAGGGGGAAAGCCTTAGTCACCCAGTGTCGCTTCAAATCGCAAGATGAGTGGCATATAAATTTGAGAAATGAAGTTTGATAAAATTTAGTAAATTTGATTTTGATATATGAAAGAAGGAAAGAAGAAAGGAAGGCAGGAAGGGAAAGAAAGGATCTCTGTAAGCCCTTCCCAGTACATGCAACTCCCTTCTGTGCTCCTCCAACCTGTGCCAAATCTCTGTGCACCTTCCCTGACCCATGTGCCCTGCATGTCACACTTTTTGTAACCTGCACCATCCCTTGCCTGACCAATGCAGCACCTCTTGTACAACTACATGCACCTTCTCCAAGCCACACCCTTTCATACACATTGCCCAACCCATGTAGCACCCCTGGGACACTCTTATACACCTTTCCTGTAACCCCACTCACCATCTCTTGACTTGCATACCATAGTCTACACACTCGCAAGCACCTTCAGACAACTTTCCAACCCATGTCCTCCATTATGCTATCCCCTGTGTACACAGCCCTGTGACCCTATGTACTTTCTTCACTCATAGACCCCTCTGCACCCTATCCAATCCACACCACTCCTCACATATACCCTAGGCACCTCCTGACTATACTACCCATCTGTACACAATCCTTGGATGGCATCTCTGGTAAACACCCACAGCCTCTTCCGAACCCACAGTCTCTCATGTATCATTTCTGACCTGCACCACATCACTTTCACTCCCAACCAGTGGCAGTCACATATCTGCCTGCTGGCCTTGTACTTGAAACTTCCTGTTGACTTCCCGACTGACTTTCTCCCAAGAAAAGGGATGGCTGGAAGGAAGAAAAGATTTCTGATGTTCCTTGCCAGCTTCCCACAAGGAAACTCTACAGGGAAGCTGGCAGGAAATCAAAACTCATTCCCACTCTCACTCTTTTTTTGTTCACCCATGGTCATCTTTTTCTCTCTTTAGATAAGGAAATATCTCTGAAACAATGATCCAATGGGCATGGGTTGTTGAGTTATTACCATACATTTCTATATGTCTGCAATACATATTTATTATCTTTGCATTTGTTTCAGGGTTCTGAAAAGGAACATATAGAACAGGGGTGTCAAATTTAAGGCCCGCAGTGAAGATCCGCCCCCCGGTGTTGTTAGATCTGGCTCATGGAGCTGCCCTGGAAACAGCAAAGGATTGACCCACAGTCCTTCAGCCAGGCCCATGCCAACTGGGCGCTGATGTCAACCTGGTGCAGCAATCCAGGCCAGAACGCGGTCAGCCTTAGATCCATGGGGCAGCCCTGGAGCCAGCAAGGGGGTGCCACCGCCCTGCCTCCTGAGTGCACACATAGGAGATGGTGAATGTGTGGAATATGGCATCTTTTCACCCAGGATGCCAGCACTCACTGCCTCCTATGTGTGTGCCGAGGCAGTGGGAGCGGTCCCAAGCTGGCTCCAGAGCGGCACCAGGGATCTAAGGCTGAGTTGTGTTCCGGCCCAGATGGCCGCCACCATGTTGTAGATCACTGCATCTTCCCCAGCACCTCCATACCCCGCTCACTGGCCTGGCCTCACAGCCCACAAGGCTTCCCTTTCGTTGAGGCAGCGGGTTAGGGATGGGCCAGCTCCATGGCAGCCACATGGATCAGATCTAAAGCTGACTGCATTCCAGTATGGGTGGCTCCAAAAGTTGTAGATCAGCAACACAGCCGCCACTAGCACCTCCATAAGTTGTAGATCAGCAACACAGCCGCCACTAGCACCTCCATAAGCTGTTCCTCGCCCTGGCCTCGCAGCAAGTGAGGCTTCCCTTTCATCAGGACCGCCCCTGCTCTTGTGTGGGAAAGCACACCAAATCGGCTGCAACCATCCAGCCACACTTACTCTGCCCATGCCCACCTGCCCCCCCCCCCAGGTTAACCACAACCCTGATGTGGCCCTCAGTGAAATTGAGTTTGACATTATAATGCTAATCACCCAAAGTTTAATTTAAATTTGAAGTTCGGATCAGAAAATTGATTTGTGTTAGAAAATCATATAGATTCTCACTTCTGAATCAATTAAGAAAAAGCAAATAACAACAAACATTCATTGAATATTGAATTACTGAGGCCAAGTCTCTTAGCAGATACAAATGGATCCCACACAGTTTAATGTGCTGAACCAATTCTGACAATTCAATTTGAAAGGGTGATTCACCAGCCTCATTTCAAAAGTTTAAATCAGAAGTTGTTTGAGATGTCTTTTTTTTTTACTAAATGGCAGCTTGTATTAATTATCTGTCTGCTAGAACAGCTCTATCATTGTTTTCCCTGCAGAATCTGTACAGTCAGATTTGCTTCACAAATATCAGAATAAAGATGACATCCTTGTCTTAACTGTTCGTGTTGCCGTCATTGTTGCAGTCATACTTACAGTCCCTGTGTTATTTTTCACTGTAAGTTGAAAATTTCTGTCCATTTGTTAAGTTCCTGATTGGTAGTTCCTAAATACAAGAATTGAATTTTTGCTTCCTTATTTAGTTTTTGTTTTGGCAAGAATAGATTGCAAGTTAACATCAGTCTCCAGCCTTCTAAATTCCAAATATTTGCCATGCTGAAAATACAGGAACAGTGATGTTGTTCAGCCTTCCACAAATCCAGACTGTATTAGGGCATAAATCGCATCATTCCTGGATATTGCTCATTGATGAGCAGTATAAAAGTAATGGAAATTATAGTACAGGTAATCCTTGGGTTATGAACGTTCCCTTAGCGAACGTTCAAATAGTTATGTGATAAGTGCCCCCTAGTGTTTACAAACAACTCCCGAAATTATTAATATTGCAGCACCACAGCAGTTGTTCGCTCTTACAAACGACCACAGAGGCTCTGCAACATTCACCCCATCTACTCTCCCCACCCTCCCAGCCAGGTCTTCACAGGCACTTCGCCTGTGGAGACACACTTTGCGAAGATCTCCCTGTTGCACTTTCTTTGCCTGCTTCATTGCTTCAGTTTTTCAGTGCATTTGCAGAGAACGAAGGCCTGACATCCTGTGAGATCATGTGAGATCAGTAGCACTTGTGCTACTGATCTCATGTGATCTCGCACTTTAGGCCTCCGTTCTCTGCGAATTGAGGCCTGGATGTTTGCAAACGGAGGGAAGGCTTCGGTCCTTCAGGCCCTCCCTCCGTTTGCTGTTTCCTTGCTGAAGCTTGCAGGGAGATTGCATTCCTTCAGGCTTTAGAAGAGTTTTGCAAAAAGCTGTTGTTGGCTGGAGAGGAGACAGCTTGCTAAATCTTTGCATGGTAAGTGACCTGGCGCAGCAGGTTGGGAAGAGGGGAAGCAATTGTGGTGAGCATGAAGTATTTCAGTGGGTCGAGGAAGCCTTGGGTGGTCTTAAGCAGGTGGTCTGTTCCATCATTAGGCCTCCCCTTGGCCTTCCCCACCCTGAAATACATGCACACTTAATGAGCCACACATTCGATTAGCGAATGCGTGGGCAAAAATGGAGTGATCCCGTTCATGGTATAAGATTCACTCCCACAAATCTTAGGGTTACAAATGGAATGGGCAGGCTCCATTAACTCAAGGATTACCTGTAGTTTTCAGTATGGCTGATTTAGAAAATAGTGCAGAAGATCAAACTAGCTTTCCATGCATTTATTTTTAAACATTAACATTGGGAAGTACAGGTAGTCATCGACTTAAAACGATTAATTTTGTGACCATTCAAAGTTATACTGAAAAAAGTGTCTTATGAGCATTTTTATACTTGAAATAAGTGTAGCATCTCTATGGTCATGTAATCAAAACTGGGATGCTTGGTAACTGGTTCATATTTATGACAGTTGCATTGTCCCAGATCATGTGATCAGCTTTTTGCAACTTTCTAACAAGCAAAGTCAATGGGGAAGGCAAATTCACTTAACATTCATGTTATTAATTTAACAACTGCGATGATTCCCTTAACAACTGTGGCAAGAAAGGTCATAAAATGGGGCAAAACTCATTTAACAAATGTCTCTCTTAACATAAATTTTGGGCTCAATTGTAGTTGTATGTCAAGGACTACCTATATTGCTTCCAATTTTAAAAAAAATCCTTGGAGATGTTTATAATGAAAGCAATTCATAAAACATATGTAAAAGAATTTTATTAAACACAGAATGAAATAAAAAGTAAATATTAAAATAATAACAGGAACTCCAAGCAACAATAAAAAGTTTAAAATCACTGTTACAGTAGATAAATACATTAACCATACTTGGGAAGGCATTCCAAATTTGGGTAGTCAACCAATGTAAAGGCTTGTTCCTGGGTAACTTTCTGTCACATCTCAGCGTAAGAAGTCATCCCAAGCAAGCCTTTGAGGCTGGCCATGGCACAAATAGGAACATTCAGAAAAAGATTCCTTCAGGTTCCACAAATGGAAGAGTTTTATAGATTAAAAACTATCCCTTGAGCTGGGACTAGAAACAAACTGGGATTCAGGAAAGATAAGAGCTAATCTGATATGTTTATATCATCCAAATCCAGACAGCACCCTTATTGCAGTATTTTATAGAAGACTATGGGATTGCCCAGGTAATCAAGTCAAGCCTCCTCTGAATTCCTAAACAATCGGAACTCGAAGGCAATCATACACTTTTATGATATCAGTTCAAATATTTATCAGAAAGTAGAAAGTGAAAATATTATATAATATAAAAAAGAAATGTTCATTTTCCCTTTTCTTTGACAATTTCACATGAAAATTCTGCTTGGTATGAGAGATTAAGTATTTTAAATTTGGCAAAATGCAATTCAGTTTTTAATAAAAAGCAAAATTTTAATGTTTTATCAGAACAAGTTGTGGTAGCATAAAAAGGTCTAGCTGAAATAAATAGCAATAGAATTGAAAATGCTGATATTCACAAATATGATGTATTAATTTTTCTAAGTGAACACAAAATATAATACTGAAGGAAAATTAATAAAAGGATGTCTGTCCCACGTAACATTTTGCCTAACAGATTTATCTTTTTTTTCTTTCATAGGTTCGTTCATCTATATTTGAGCTTGCTGGAAAAACCAAATTTCATTTATGCCAACACATTGTGATTACATTGATTCTTTTGATGATCATTAACCTGCTGGTTATTTTTATACCTTCCATGAAGGATATTTTTGGAGTTGTAGGTACAGTATGCTAAATATATTTAATTAAGATTTCCTCCCTTTATTAGGCTTAGACTTGTAAATTGTTTATTATAACACCAAATTGTTTGTCATTGTCATAGGAACAACATCTGCCAATATGTTGATTTTTATTCTTCCATCTTCACTCTATTTGAAAATCACAGATCAAGATAGTTCAAAACTGATTCAGAGAATTTGGGTAAGTTAGTATGCTTCCTTATCCTTCATTTAACAAGATTAAAAGCTGTACTGTGCAAGTGTAACAAAGGTAGAACATACTTTTTACCAGAGTGAAGGATCTGAGATCTTGCCAGTACACAAATGGCTAAGTGAGCCAGCATTCATGTCAGAAGGCAATAAAGACAAATACTTGCTTAAAAATGGATGTACCTGAGTATCTCAAAATGATCTGCAGTAAATTGCTTGCACTGCTTATGAATAAGAATGAAGATTTAAAGAAGGGAATGTAATCATACAGGACTCTTAATCACAGGTGGTGCTTGCAAACTAAGAATAGGTTTCTCATTTGATAGCCTTTGCCCAATATAAGGCAACAGAAACAAAGGATGTTGGAAATGCAGGAACAAAACTCAGAAATGCCTGACAAAGTTATTCTGAAATAAATTCAAAGCCATTTCCAAAATATTTGAACCATCCATTTTAAAAGCAAAATAATTGTTTTAAACTCAAAACAGGACTGCATTTAAAATGCAAGATGAAGCAAATTAGAAATATTTTGCACACCTCTGAATTAAATTGTAAGATAGAATTCTCTACAAATTGCTGACATAATTTGATACTAATTGATTGTGTGTTGGTTTCCTTGCCTTCCCCATGAACATATTTCTTCTTAGATTTAAAGCTCATTTTCAATTGGCTAATCATTATATAACAGAAATGTACAGCTTTTCCCAAATTGAGGAGCACACTTTCCCTTTGAATCCAATGCATAAGAATATATTTCTAAATAGTTTACTTTTAAAATAAGAATAATTAATAGGATATTGCTCATGCATTTGATAATTTTCTCTTCCCAATGCAAAATTTGTGGCAGCAACTTTTCAGTGTCTTTAAGAACTACACCCTGGATCTTACGTTGGAGCCCACTGTCACATATAACTAAATGTAAATAATATCTCATTTTGGTTCTAGGCATCCCTCTTTTTGGCATTAGGAATTTTATTTTCCATGGTGAGCATTCCTCTTGTCATCTATGATTGGATGCATTGAAGACATGCCACTGAAGGTTAGTGAGATACCAACATGAACACATTATCTCTTTGCTGTTCACAAAAGTCACCACTCACCTATTTTGCAAGTGTGTCCCACTCATCAGAAATTTCGTCTATTAAACAAACAAGAATTAATCATCACTGCATATTTTCCACAGGAGATAGTTGTTAATTTGTAATGTTTACATCAGTATTATTACAGTGGTCAGAACAATTTCACAGATCCCATTGGTCATAGGTCTTCTGTATGCAGTAAATAATGAATATTATAATGAAATACCTGAAGAATATCTTCTACTGTTTCATACATTGCACATGAATATTTCTTCTGATTTTCAGCTAAAGTCCATTATCCTGATCAAAGTAGATCACACTGGTGCAGTAATGTGGTTAATGATTAGATAGATAACTAGTATTTTGTCACGTATGGACTCTATGGAGTCTTTTGGTATTAGTAAACAAAGACTTAATTATTTAAGCTCATTATCCTTGTGGGAGATACATATGCATATGTACCCATTTTCAAAGTAGTCTCCCAGGATATTTACCTTGTCTCCCTGTCCTGATAACAATATTATTTGAATTAAAATACACCAAAATCAAAAGAAATAGATCCAGAGGTAATGTACCTGAGATATAAAATTTCTTGGTGCCAGGATTACATTTGTCAATATTTTTTTCTTTGATTTGATGAAGTTGTGATTTTCTGGTTAGGAGAATTTCAAACTCTCTTTTGCTGTTATAAGAACAATAACAACAAAAAAGCTGTTGCCAATGAAAATACATACTGATCCATCATAAATTCTATCTTAGTATCTTTTAGTATAATACATGCTGACAATTGTCTTGCCAAAACCATATAATTAATAAAAAAGGTGAGACTGTTCTTTAGCAGTACAGTAGAGATTTCTTCTAGTATCAATGAAGAGATCATTGCAATTGGCACCTGGTATAACCATAGACATCTTTACTGGTTGGTAAATATTTTACTGGCACTATGCAGCCCAAGAATGCAAATGAGAATGCCATCTATTGAGCTCTGATGCACAGAAGTGGTTTGTAGTTCAAGGGTCTGCAGTTCATGAAAAGAAAGAATACAGGACATGCTGGCATTTGTAAATATATCTTGATGCATTCTCTAGGTTGCATCCAGAGTTTTTTCAGAGCTTGCTATCAAGTTCATAGAAGCTTATAATTCTCATTATTATTATATATTTGTCCTTTCATTATGGGCATTTCTAGACCATGTGTGTATAGCTGGTTCAGGCTCTAAAATAGTGATGGTCCTGATACTCTTTTTGTGGTTTTTGTCACTTTTAAGAATGCATACTAATTCAGAGTGTCTTATTGCTTATGACTTCTACAAAGCACTTTTCTTCACAATCACATTGTGAAGTACATCAGTAATAGGTTTATTTTGCATAGACAATGCTGGGGCCAAAAAGATAATGGAATTAGGTTTCCTGTCCAGGCATTAGGCCGTTTTGAAGGATAATTACAAAAAAGCAAGCTGCTTCAAGGTTTATACTAAACACGAGTCCTCAGAATTCAGTTATTTTCTTAAAATGGAACAGAAGCTCCTAGCATAAAATATTATGATTATTAAAAAAAATGGGGGGGGGGGATTTACTGTAATATTCTGATTTGTTGGAAGGCAAAGTACACACCATTTGCAATAAAGAGCAAGAGTTCACAACATGTTACAATGGAGGTTCCCATCTACGTCATGGTGTGATGATGTGCCAATTAAATATTAACCAGCTTAGGGACAGCTAATTCCTTCAGTTATGTAATACACAATTCCAAAAGAAGAAGAATGTATTATCAATGCTAACTGACTCAAGGTTGACTCAGCCTTCCATCTTTCCGAGGTTGGTAAAATGAGGATCCAGATTGTTGGGGGCAATATACCGAAATCTAAACTGCTTAGAGAGGGCTGTAAAAGCAGTATGAAGTGGTGTACAAGTCTGATGCTATTGTTATTTCTAACTCAAAAGTGCTGGGGAGAAATAAGGGACTGGGTGGGACAATCAATCCATCTGTGTTTTATCCTTTCCATTGTGATGATTACTACCTGAAACATTAATAAAGCAGATGTATATTTAGTATAGGAAGGTGTAGATGGAAAAAGAAAGATCTAATTAAAAGGACTGAATCAGGCTTAAGGCTATGAAGAAAAATAAAACCCTATGAAGTCCCCTTGAGGCATCCCAGCTCAGGATATTGACATGTGCTCCATTCTCACTTCTCCTGATGACAAGACCGGAGTGGAATATGCACAGTCCACCCTCTCCACACAACACACAAAGATGCCACATGTGGGAAGTGTATAGCAGAAACACAGAGAGACTCAACACATTAAATAAAAATGCCTTCTATGGCCACTGTTGATAAAGAGGTGGAAAAAATTTTTTGGAAGCCATGCTTGGCTTTCTATACTTTATTTTTTTTATTATAATATAGGCTATGGAACATGGGTATAAGTGGGCTCCTGCTGCTTTTGCTAGAATGATGAAAGCTGTGTTGAGCAGTAAGCTCTACCCATTTTGGATGTGTGTGACACATGTAAGAAAGAAGTAGTCCTTATAGTACAGGTAGTCTTCGACTTGCAATCATTCATTTAATGGCACTGAAAAAAGTGGGTTATGACTGTTTTCACACTTATGATGGTTGCAGCATCCCCATGCTGATAAAAATTTGTATCATAATTGCACTGTCCTCTGGTCCATGTGATTATCATTTGTAACTTTCCTAGCCAACTTCCAACAAGCAAAATCAGTGGAGGAATCCAGATTTGCTTAGTAACCATGATTCACTTAACTGCAGTGATTTATTTAACAACTGTGACAAAAAGGTCATAAAATGGGGCACAACTCACTTAACAACTGCTTTGCTTTGCAACAAAAATGTTGGGCTCAACTGTGATAATAAGTCGAGGAATACCTATACCACTTTTCATTAGACTGACTAGTTTGACATTTCTTGCTCCATGGATGTCCTTGCATAAAGAAATTTCAAAAAAGAATTCCAACTCTTTCTTTGTCCTGCCTTTGTGTCATAAAAAACTGAGCAGGATCTATTTTTTCATTGCTTTACAATTAGAAGGCATTTAAAAATGCTTCTTGGAGGAACTTTTGGTTGTTATAAGTATGTAGACAAGTGTTTCCAAATTCCCTACCCAGAAAGGGAATTAATTCCATCCCAAACATGCCAATCTGATACTACAAAAATGGAGCTCTTTTCATTGCATTCTCTTGGCTTTCCCATTAAAAAGGAGTAGTCAACTACTAGGACTTTGGGCTTGACTACCCACCAGTTTTGTAAAGAGAATATTTCCTGCCCACCATTTCCATCTACAGTTCTGCAAGAATCACTTTTATCAGATTTATAACACTTGGTCCAGGGTATGCAGGGGATATTAAGAAAGGATAGCAAAAATATAACCCTTAGGTATGATATTGCGCTATTTATGTGAACACCAAATACTGTCTATATGAAATCAAAGACACGCTTTTGTATGTTTCTTTTCTTAGTTCTGTCATATTTTTTTTCAAATACAGTTTGTACCATTACAATAGTCTGTATTAACTGAAATTGCTTTTAAAATGTCTCCTGATCAGTCTTTCCTTATTCAGAAACAAACATTGCTGAGGATGCTATTTCGCATCTGGACAATGTTTTCATGTGTCTTTCTTTTTAACTGAAAGAATTTAGCATTGTTCCTCAGTTTAAGACCTTCAATTTATCAAAATGTGAAGATAAAAAAGAAATGTTGCTAAATACTGAGAGCTGATAGGACCTTGACACTCACATACATGCATATCGCTGGATCTGTTTCTTTTTTATTTAACAACAGCAACAACAACCACCAAAATCTATGCAGTTGTGTTGTGGGAAATGTTTAATTTGTGTATCTGTGTATATATATTGTAAATAAATAGGATGCTTCTATTTTTGCAGTTGTGTACTCTGAGATGAAAGTGTTGAAGTAGATAAATAACAAGAACAATGTGTCTGTAACCCATTCTGAAAAGGAGTAGCAATGGCCTAGCTTTTCACCCAAATACATATTCTCTCTCCCACAAAAACTCCCACTTTTATCCCAAATACGTATTCTTTCTCCCACAAAAGCTCCCACTTTTATCCTGTTCAGTACTATCTGACCGCAGTCCTGAAGCTTACAAAATTATATTGCATACAGTAGCGCATTTCTAACAGCACAATGCAATGAGCTGCCATGATTTATTCCTCTGAGATACTTTTTGCATCATCCAGAAGTAGAATGGAATCATTTGGTAGTGCCATTTCATGTACCTTGCTAACCTTTCCCCATCTGATGTCCTCTCCCCTGTGTCAGACCCACAGATTTTTGAATTCCCAGCTAGAAGGGCCAAAAGCCTGGAAAGTCTGACTGGCTGTAATAAAATTGGTGTCTGTAGCATCAAAAATATTATTGTACTTAGGACCAAAGAAGGAAGCACCATGTTAAAGAGCATTGAAGGGTATATGACCATAGTTTTGTTCAATCTGTTTTGGGGGATCATAAGTAGAATGCTGTATCCTCATAACAAAGATTAGCCATTCTTGTTTAACTGGTTGCTTTTTTAGACAGATATTGTGTGTGTGTGTGTGTGTGTGTATGTATGTGTGTGTGTATGTATGTATGTATGTGTATGTATGTGTGTATATGTATATGTATATGTATATGTATATGTATATGTATATGTATATATATATATATATATATATATATATATATATATATATATATATAATCTTAAAATCTGTGAAATCTTCTATTCAATATTTTAATGATGCTCTGTTAAAATTCATACATGTCTCCAAATCTTATTTTATAAATGTGTAGAACTTACATTTTTTGCAGAATAAAAAAAAAGTCCATTATTCCATAGTTAACAAATAAAAGTACTTTTCCAGCAGAACTAATTCTACACTGCTAACACTAAATCAAACTTCTGAATTCCTAAACTACGATTTAGGAATAAGAACCACCAATAGCGTTTTGTTTTTGTTTGGAGAGGATTTTTTCCAGTTTGCTTTGCTCTGCTGTACATTATATTATACATTATTATACATTATGTGCTGTACATTGTATGTCTCTGTATTGTTCATATTTAATGATACAATAAATAAATGTATTGTTCATATTTAATGATACAATACAGTAAATAAAATTGAGTGTAAATAAAACATGTCTGTTATTTATATAATTTTTAAAGTATGATTGAAAACAAATCTGAGATGTTGATTTTGCAAAAAAAAAAAAAAAAAGTAAAGAAACCCTAAGATGTGTTTGGGTGGTGGCTTAAGCAAAATAGTAAAACTCCTGAATCTAGAAAATTCAGAGAAGGAAGAACAGATGTCATTTTCTGTTCTAGGCTCCTTTTAGGAAAGAAAGGGTAATTCTGGGAAGCAATAAAAAGAAAAAAGCTAATTGATAGCAAGTTGTCCCATTCTCTCCCAGCATTGTTTGTATCTTTAAATGGATAAGTTTTATCTGAATTCTTGCACCGAACATTGAATCGGACTAATACACCAAAACACTTAAAGTTTACTGTTCACTTCATTTCCTACAAAGAAATTATCATAGCATTATCTATTATTCCTTGTCCCAGCTCCTGCCATCCTAGCAGTTTGATAGCATGCAAATGTGAGTAGTGGGAGGATAACAGCGCTCTGTAACATCATGCTGGCCACATGATTGAAGAAATGTCTTCAGACAGCACTGGCTCAATGGCCTTGAAATGGAGAGGAGCACAGCCCCCAATAGTCTAGCGGAGTAAAATCCGCAGGGACTCCTTTACCTACATTGTTCTACTAGAATGGTACATATTGTCCACCTTACCTTAAGTTCTCAAACCAAACTTTATGGGATTATACAAGGTTTATAATACACAGGTCATGACATAATGCAATATCTCTTCTCTACTCTCAGAACTTAAGAGAACGACTAAATATACTATTCTGATGGAATTGTTATATTTCTGCAACATTGAGTGCCAGGACCCAGCCAACTCTTAAAACTAAATCACTGTATAGAGTCATCTACGTAAAGATCCATGTATTCAATTTCTGGTAAAGGATTTGAACCCCAAAGAATAACATCTTGGATTCATGCCTGACAAATCCCAAATAGGATGAAATTGCTGACATAGTGGCTTCTGGTGGTCAACATATCTATTCTATGCCACATTTCAAAATAAATAATATTGTTTTCAGACCAATTTTTTTTGTTGTTGCTTTAATTAGATGAGACCACAGAGCATGCTACCGAATCTAGTTGCTGGTTTTATTTCTCAACAGCTGGAAAGAGATTTTGATTTAATTGAGTATCTCTACAGAAAATGCTAGATTGGTCTTCTTACAACTGATAAGGTTTAAATGCCTTAGACATAAAAAACCACTCCTCTCTCCCCCACCCTACATTAATGCTCATATTGAATGTTGGATCATGTGGCCTGCATCAATTGGGGTGCAAACTTTAAGCTGTTTTAGCCCCATGGAATCTTCAATTCTTCTGGTTGCCAAACAATTTCTATGTACTGTATGTGACAGATATTATTTTGACAGCATGGTGAATTAACCATGATATTAATGCTGGCAGTGTATTAGATATATTTATCCCATGGATTATTAATTGTGCTTTTTAAAAGAGGAAAATGGGGAGAGACAGCAGCTGCTGTTTAGCTGTAATAGCTTGAGTACGGCACGTTCCCTACTGGAGACAAGCTCTGTCCTTGTACTCATTCATATCACTGGACAAATTCTACAGGCATCATCGCCTACGTCAGTCTATATCTTTCAATTTCCTTGAATAAACTGTAGTCCAAACAATGGAGAATGTCTACTTCTCTAAAAAAACAAGCTTTATTTTGCCAAAAATAAGGAGTATGTCAGATGTTTTTAATACTTGTTCCTCAAGCTCCTTTGAAATAAGGAGAGTAGAATAGATGACATATTTTACTCTATAAGTGTAGATTGAATTTTATTATATAATATTAAAGAACCTAAGCCAAAAAATTCAGACATGTCAGTATAAAAATAATAAATGTGAAAGATAGACAATCAAACAGCTATTTTCCTCAATACTGGCTTTATCTACATTATTTATGACTTTCCATCCAAAATAATGACATGCAATAAATTGGAATCCTTAAAATTGCCAAATGCCGTTTACAATTTATTATGGTGGAAGAAAAGTCAATTATTGAAATTCATTCATGGATGCAGGAAAGAATGACTCTCCTCACAGAGTATATTTTTCTTTTTTTCCCTTTTTCTTCTTTTTCTGTTGCTGCTGATAGAAAAATAGGTCCGTAATAAGTTTGTATTCTAAAGCAATATAA